TAAATGCTACTATAAGGGATGTTTTTCCATTTAAAACAAAATGGTTGGTGAAAAATACAAAACTGTAGATTGGTTATTTATTATGAAAATGATGAATATTTTTGGTCTTATGATGAGCATCTGTTTGCTTTAGCATTTTTACCACAAGAATTCCTATACATTTGATGCCTTAAAACTAATAATGCCTTTAAAGGCAAATGATGTAGTTCAGTATTTTGAAAATAACTATATTTATAGAAGAGTACAAAGACAGATACAAAATGGTAACAAAATTTATGATTCACTACTATTTCCTTTGGTACTATGATCAGTTTATGACTCAATAGAACTTAGCAACCTATAAATACTTCAATATAGATGAATGACTCCTTTGTAAGATAAACAGGACAATTAACTTTAGCCAAAGATTTGAAAATAATTTGAGCTTGAATGAATGATAATAGAATGTTAATTAATGCATGTGGGTAAAAAAATTATGTTTAAGGTCTGCTGATATAATAAATTCAATAAATTTATAATTATAGACGCTTGTTATTAATTATAAAGCAGATAATTACAAATTTGTATTTATATTACAAATTGTAAACCGAAGATGATATGAAAATTCTCTTTTTTTTGTAAATTTAGAAAATAACTACGATCAGAACTTTGAACTTCTTACATTATATTAATATCAAAATATTTTTATTTAATCATTTATGGAGAAAAGAGTTATGTAAGGTATGTAGGAAAATAACTATTTTAAAAATAAAATAATCCTTCAAGGATAAGCGCACATCTTTTTAAAATCGCATCCAATCTTATCACCAAGAATCTCTTTAAATTTGTTCCATTCGCAATATTCACTATCACAACCCGGAATTACAAACGGATTAAAATCGAGCAACACACGTATCAACACGCGATCATCAGAACAATTATAAATTTCGAAATAAAGCGTAGAAGACCAGTTTAAAAGTGTATGTTCCGTATATTTGACATTTTTAAATTGTTCAAAGGTTAAATCTGCTGTGAGTGGGAATTTATTTTTAAATACTCCCTATAATTAATAAATAACAAATATATATTGTTTATATATATCCAAAAATTAAAATAAATTATAAAAAAAAAAAAAAAAAAATTTCACACACCAATGTAGTAAGTATCATAAATATAGTAAAACTATGAGCATTTTTTAGATCAGCTATCATACTAGAATTACCATTTAAATAATTTTCAACTCCATTTACAAGCTGAGTAAGGTATCTACAACCCAGTCGCGTATTGAGAGGATGACCATATGAATATCGATGATAATATAATAGGTCGTAATAATATCGTGTTAATAAAAGTTCTTTGGGGCTTAATAATGAACACCACGCATCGGTTCGATTAAAAACGGCGAGCCAAAATTGGCAATTGTTAAAAACATGTAGTACTAGAAGTGGATCAAGAGGTGGGCTAATATGGTATGTTTCGGAAAGTCGGTTGGCAATTTGTGTTAACGTCTTGTTACCATAGGCGTAAGCTTGTTCGTCAAGTAATTTATTATTAGTAGAAACGGTCTCGTTCCAACGTCTACAGGCTAAATACATAAGTAATGTATCATCTTGTTCCTATAAAAGAAATATACAAGTGTATGTAGTATTTGCTTAAGGATGATTAAATGACGCAGTTAAGATTTTTTTTTTTTACCGGTGGTACAGTCCAATAGTATATAGGTTGACTTTTACAAGTGTCTAAAGGCCCCTTGCCATTAAATAAACCCTGAGAAAAGGACATTATCGACGCACCGTTTCTTAAGAAGAATAATATGAATAAATCATCAAAAATGAAATGGTTGTAAAAGCATACTTTG